CTGGACTCCTCCCCCTTCCCTTCGTTACCTGATGGAGCTGCTTGGGCCGGTGAGTACACATCCTAACTCTCCCGGCCGCCCGGGAGAGACACACTTTTTACCGGAAAGGTTTAATCTGCGCAATCAAGCAGATTAAACCTTTCCCTGGGATCTTTTTTTTTTTTCTGACATCGGGAGCCGCGGCCCGACCGTCAGTCAGAAAAGAAAAAAAAAAGCCATTCTTAGGAAGTGACAACTTTCCAGTTCTTGTCTTTACGTAATCATGCATACTTGATGAACCCACAAGGCAAATACTCCAACATGCAATAATTAGAATGTAAGAAAGAAATACCCTTCCAAGATATAAGACAAGCAGTGAGGCTTATTAACATTTATCAGGTGCCTGCAAGGTAGAACTGTCTAGTCCGCAGCACTTTTTTTCCAGCACTAATGAGAGTAGTAAAAGGTTATCTCTTTTCTTATAATTATAAACTGCAATAAAACACACAAACACGGGAGGATGTGGTATGCTGAATATATTTACATGCAAATTATACACTGCATAATCAGCCAAATCACACTAGGTAGAGGCAATGTACATGGAGAAAGAGGGAGGGAGGGGGGTAGAGAGTGAAAGATGGTGAAGTAGGAAGAGGGAATGAGGTTAGGGGATCATTAAGGCTTCATTCGCACTATGTGTGAATATGAGTTTTGGGATTTCTGCGACAGGAATCTCAAATTTTCCATTTAGATGCGGCTGCTGTCGCCCATTCAAGTTAATGACTGGGCGACAGGGGCCGCATCTGTAAGCAGTACTCCGCACTTTGGAGGGATTTCCTCTAACTTCCTGTTGTAGCGATCAGACAGGAAGTGAAGAGAAATCTCTGCAATGGGACACAGATGGCAAAACAAGCTGACAGGGGTTATATATAAGATCCCTTACTGTATCTAAAAAAAAAGTTTGGCTTTAGTTCTACTTTAACTGTCATTTCTTAATGAACCTAGAGCTGAAACACTCAGCCTGAAACAGTCAGAATTGGCTTTACATCCACACTGCACCCCACAGGGTTCCGGCACTTTATCCCCTGTATTTTTACTGACATTTAAAGACTGATCTTTGCTCTGAGAATCATTACAGTACTTCTCTCCAATGTGAGTTCACATTTCTAAGTGTTTCCTCTCTGAAAACGATTAGCCTTCATCTCTGCTGGGATAAACACTCGATTAGGAAAATCATTAAAATAATGTATTAAAATCTCTGCTTCTCACTGCATCCTGTGCCTGCTCACCTAGCGATTCCTGGTTGACGCACCGGATTGAGTCTCATGCAACGTTATATACCTGGGAGGCCACAAGCAGTGCATCCGAGTATTGACCCCTTATTGACCGATCATACAAGAAGGAAAGACTTTGCCTAATATAACTGCAATCAATGCACAAGGTCACCAGCGGTCGAGCTCACACTCTATTGAAAGCTCCGGGTTGTGAACTGCAGAAGCCAATTATGCAATTCACCAATCAAAAAGTAGGTGAAGGGTCTTCCTTTAGGAAATTGCAGGGTCATATTATACCATAAATGTTCTAGCAATGTTCTTGAAATAATAAAAATCATTACTATCTTAAAAATATAACTCAATTCAGTACCATTAAAAATGAATAGCACCACAATGCGTAAACATGTATGGTGCATTGTGGCTAATTGGCAGGTGTAATTAGGCCCTTAGTCGTGCTTGGTTTGTTAAAGCCCAATTGAAGCCCAGTGAGCTAAACTGAGCATGCAACAAAACTCATTCTTAACCCTTACATTAACGGAGGATCTCGATGCCTAGATGCCCAGGGCAAATTTGGTTACAGCGCTTAACTTGACCATAACGCAATGACTATTATATGGCTATTAGATAGTGTTAAAAGGACAATTAAGGCTTATATTTGATACACCGTTTAAAAAAAACTGTTCTGTTACTGTTTATTATATGGAAAAAAATAAAAATGACATATATAGATACATAGATTTTATTTATATATATTTAGATTTTGTCTTGACTTCTCCAACTGTCAGACCAAACTCCTTTCCCAAGCCTTCCATAAATAACCAAACACTTGACACCAATTGGAGTTTAATGGCCATGGCAAACTTTTTTTTAACAAATGTATAGATAACAGAAATTAAGTAACAGGTCGAAGGGGTTCAAGGTCCTTTTGAAGGCACTTTTACATTAATTCTGTATCGGCAAACCCGTAATATAGGCCTCCAGCTGCAGAACACCGACTCAGAGACAATCGCAGCATAACCTGTAGATACAACCACAAAATCACAATTTCACTGGCACTCTAACCTACATAATAAGGGGCCTGTACCTAAGATGGGTCCTTACCCACCTAACATTTCACTGCAATGACCACCTTGAAGGATCTTGTAACCTCGCCAACTGTTTTCACTGCCTTCATCGAATCCCCATAAACAGGCCAATGACCCCTCCATGGAACAAAAAAGTAACAAGTGGAGGGTGGGCGGGAAGCATGTCTGATATTTCGTGACTGAAGACTGTTTGATCTCACCTATTAACCCAACCCTATAGTCCCTCCTGTTCCTCTCACTAGACCTGTAACATCTCACTGTGGTCTCCAAAACTGCTTAAAGGGTATCTATTGTCAAAAACTAAAAATAAATATAAGGGGTTAGGAGTTAAGATTAGCAAGAGTTAAGGTTTGCAAGGTTTAGGGTTATTATTTTATATACTGAATTTTCATGAGTTCTATCCCACTCCTAATAACCAAATCGATCTAGAAGTTTGTAAACTTAGTTATTGAAGATGCCCATAGGATGTACTTACATACTTTCACTGACTTCCTTGTGTCACCACTATCACAGAGCCTGACTCCTGAACTACAACTCTGAACAATGTAATATTATTATTGCTTGCTGGAAGCAATGCATGATGGGTTATGTAGTGTTGAGAAATGGAGATTGCATCACATCAAGCAGCAGGGAAAGAGAAGCAAGGCACAGTGGGAATACAGGAAGTTGGAGAAAGTGATGGACAGACAGAAGGCAACGCTCAATACATAAAAGGGATTTTTTTCATGTAAGCTTTGATTGCATTATCAAAAACAACTCAGTATGTATTCCTATTACAATGCTGATGTTATAACAGGAGAGGATATGCTGGGACTTTACATCTCCTTTAACCCCTCACTCTACCATTCCATCTAGTCATACACCGAATGCCTTCCGCCAGTCGTCTCCAGGCCTAACTTTAGTTTTACATTAGACATAAGCTGGGTTCAACACCCCCATCCAGCCATTTTTTGGAATGTTGGATAGATTGGTGAAGTGTTAGAATTTTTGTCTGTCTGTGATCCCATTGGGTAACCCATCATTACTGATAGGTAGGGCATGCAACGGGCAAGCAGTGCGTATATGTATGAGCCAAAAAGGAGGCAACAAAGTAACAGTTGCTACTTTTGTACAGGATTTCCAGACAGGAAGCCAACTGTGCATGGGAAACTATATTGAAGTGTTCACAAGCATTATAAATGCATTCATTCCCTTAACCAATTTTAAACAATGATATCATTCCTGCATAGCGGTCCTTGAAAGAGTTAACAGAGGACCGTTATGCTAAAGGTCTCTTGTATTCTGGCTATCACAGATGCTGTCCCTGGCAACACTGCTAAATGCCATCATAAGCCAAGTACAAAAACACGAGTTCCTCTGTGCTGTGTCTCGCTTGGTCCCTGTGATACAGAGAAAGAACAAATGAATTGAAGTCCCGCAGCACAAGGCCTTTTGCCTTTCAGAGTTCGATGTCACAATCCAAAGAATGGCTTTCTTTAACGGAACATGATTGGAAAATGTCACCGAGCAACAATTAGGTGTGACCTTTTGACAAGGACATGGACTGAATGGATAAGGAGCGCTCAAACCGTAAAATGATTTCACGGGCTGTCACAATGTGGTTCATGTACTGGAAATCTGGGGGGTTTAAGTGACTTTAAAAGCCAAAAATGATCATTTCTAGGGCTGCTGTGCCCATATATCTATGCTTAACATCAAATTTCTGGATTAGACATCTCCCCATACACATTTTTTGTGTGTCTGGATTTCTGCATAGCCAACACACAGACCATGGCCTTGCGCAATGAAAGGGGGGAACAACTACCAGCACATCATGTTACTGACTCCATTAATATGTTCTGGTGTTCAATATAAAGAGTATCTATGGTTAGAAACTAAAAATAAATATGTATTTCTGTATTGAATTTCCATAAGTTCTATAGCACTCCTAATAAACATATCCATCTTGAAGTTTGCAAACTTATCTTTTGAAGATGCCCATAGGATGTACTTCCCTCAATGCACTTACACAAAGTCACTTAGCTCTGTGAATATGCACTTCCCAGTGTCACCCCTCTCAGAGCCTGCCTTCTTAACTACAACTCAGGGTTTCTGGCTGCATTAGATACTGATTGTGTGCTTGTGGACACGTTTCTGGTTGTATCAGTATGGTATTGATTGTGTGTCTGTGGACATGTTTCTGGTGTGTCAGTATGGTATTAATTGTGTGTCTGTGGACACGTTTCCAGTTGCATCAATATGGTATTGCCTGTATCTGTGGGCATGTTTCTGGTGTGTCAGTATGGTACTGAATGTGTTTCTGCAGACATGTTTCTGGTTGCTTCAATATGGCATTAATTGTGTGTCTGTGGTCATGTTTCTAGTTGCATCAATATGGTACTGACTGTATCTGTGGACATGTTTCTGCTTGCATCAATATGGTACTCATTGTGTGTCAGTGGTCATGTTTCTTATGGCATCAATATGGTACTCATTGTGTGTCAGTGGTCATGTTTCTTATGGCATCAGTATGGTACTCATTGTGTGTCTGTGGTCATGTTTCTGGTGGCATCCGCTTGGTACTCATTGTGTGTCTGTGGTCATGTTACGGGTGGCATCAGTATGGTACTCATTGTGTGTCTGTGGTCATGTTTCTTGTGGCATCAGTATGGTACCGTGTTTCCCCGAAAATAAGACACTGTCTTATATTTTTTTGGGCTCAAAAAAACACACTAGGTCTTTTTTTCGGGTAGGTCTTATTTTTTTTTTTTAATGTACAACAATCCACACTTATTCATGTACAACAGTCTACATGTATTCATGTACAAAAATATGGTGATCAGGGCAATCAGGGGTGCCGTACCTTTCCAAGAGCAATTTGGTAACCAATCGCTGGCCATAATGAGTGAAGCGCACTTTCACTATCGATTCCTCACAGGCGGAGTGCATTTGGTATCACTTCGCCTGTGATAGGAGCCGGCGCTATAGAGGAGGCATCAGCTTATGCGGCTCTGCTCCCTCCGGTGCCGCCTCACCTCCTCTAGCGCTTGCTTCGTTGGCACAGCTGATTCTCTCCCGCGGCTCTTCAAGTTCCCCCTTATGCCTCCACCGGCCCTGGGAATGGTCACAACTAGGTCTTATTTTCAGGGTAGGTCTTATATTTTAGCAATTCCCAAAAATAGTACTAGGTCTTGTTTTCGAGGTAGGTCTTATTTTCGGGGAAACAGGGTACTCATTGTGTGTCTGTGGTCATGTTTCTGGTGGCATCAGTATGGTACTCATTGAGTGTCAGTGGACATGTTTCTGGTGGCATTGGTATGGAACTGATGTGTGTCTGCAGACAAGCCTCTAGTTCAAGCATCAGTACAACACTAATTGTGTCTCTACATGCTTCTTCTTGTCTCAGTATGGTATTTATTGTGTCTCGGTGGACATTTTTATGGTGTGTCTGTATGTTACCGATTGTGTCTCTTCTCATATTTCTGGTTGCATCAGTGTGATTGTGTCTGCAGACATGTTTATGGCTGTGTTGATACTGTACTGATTGTGTCCCTTTTGGTACACATCCAGCAAACTGTTCCTTTTTTTTTCCTCTCTCTTTCACCAACAGTTTGAAGGACTTAAAATTGGCCTTCTGTTTAAAAGTTTAGGGGCCCCTGCTTTAGTATGCTATTTGTATTTAATATTTAGATGTACCCATATACAGTTATCTTTGTGCAATATTATAATTATTAATTATAATAATAATCTGTCATTCCTTCTTTCTTAAAAAAGAACTTAAAAATATTGAAGCAGGTGCTCTTTGCAGAGATACTGTTACTTTACTATGCATTAGCAAGGTGATAGGGTCTCTTTAATGGTTTATTGTATATAGCGCCATCATGGATTTGGAAAATTGTAGTCTACAGTGTTGAATAGAAGCCTTGGCTAAAATAGAGAAGATTCTTACACATTGGCTTTAAACTTCTTTATTTTTATCTTCTGGAGTGGACCAGGCTATATGGTATCTTGATGTGGACCCAGTCTAGCTCCATCTCTTCATACATAACTGTACCTGCCTTGTTTGCAATACAGCGGGTGATCTGAATGACTTACAGTGACAATGCCTGCAATATAACATCTGGGCCATAGAGATAGGTGAACAGTGACTGTGATTCACTCACCTGCCACCGGCTCCTTAGCAGGAAATAGCTTACTGTCAACGGCAGCACTTATATCATCGAAGATTTCTTCCTCGTCCCTGTCAGCGTCAAACTGGAGAGGAATAGAAAGTGATCTTATTATTCACACATGTATTCACTCATCATATCCTCTGCGGAGTGCTCAGAAGATTATTCTGTCAAACAAGACAGTTCTACAGCTCTTCCCAGCACCTACACAAAGTGTAAACCTATCAGAGACAATGGCCATAGGCGAAGGAGCTCATTCAATGCGCACAATAACAATTGCAGGGCGACATAGGACTGAGACTCCAGGTTTTATTAAAGTGACACTAAACTCAGGATTTAAACCTTATTAATACATTCAAGTACCTTAACTAATCCCTGTAACTAAATTGCCTCATCCTCCCATAGGGACAGCCCTGCATACCATCCCCTCTCGCTCTAACTGTAGTCACCTTGCAGCTATCTAGGGGCACACTTACACCCCTAGGAACCAGTAGTCGTATTATTCACCAGGTAAAGCCAGCGGTAGCAAATGGGGAGCTTAGCAGTGAGTACAGCGCATAAAGATGGACATACACTTGTAGATTTTTGTATGAACGTTCATCCAAGAAAACCTTATCAGAACATTCAATAGACATGTAAATGTTGCTTCGTTCCCAATGCAGATTTGTAAAAATGTTGTTCAATTCTGACTTTCGGATGCATCCAAACTTCTTTCAAAATGAAACTAAATAGAACATGTGAATGTTCTCTGGCTAATCAGATTTTGTTTTGGCTGTTGAGGGTTGCATTACAGGCAAGGTCATGTGACTTAATTCCCGAAACGAAAATTCGGATCTTTCTGATACAATAATTGGGAAGGAAACAAAATCCTAATAACGACCGAATCGCGCTTCGAATCTAAAAAACGGAAGAAATAAAAATCAAAATCGATCTGAAACAAAACTCATTTTTTGCGAGGTTACATGTCTAACATTCAACAATGCCACCAGAGCCTGGATGAATGTCATTTAAAATACTGTTTTTCGGTTTTCAAGAACACCTCCAGGTTGTAGAAAATGTAAAGCCCCCCTCCGCAAGGGTTAACTGTTAATTTTTCTCTAGGGGCGATAAAAAATAGAAATACGCACCCAATCCTTGATCCCGCCTGACTGCTGGACTGTCTAATGCAGGTCCATCCATTTGTATGGGCACTGGGGACATTCCACAGCCGGAATGGAGGGGCAGAGAGGTGAGTGGCCACTGCCGCAGGATCACCCCTAGAGAAACATAAGCACTTAACCCTTGCAGTGCGAAAGCACTCCCACTGCAGGGGTTATTTTTTTTACAACCTGGAGTTCTTCTCTCAGGAAGGAGAATGGAGGAAATGGAAGAGAGAGAGAGAAGGCGGAAGGCGAGAGAGAGAGGGTGGGGAGAGGGAGGTGGGTGAGGGAGAGAGAGAGATAGAAGTCACACATTCGATTTTGGAATGAATGAAGATTCCCCAGGTGAAAACTACATTAGAATTTTATTTATTCAAAGGTAATTTTCCATTCTGCTCCCCTGATTTGATGTCATGGTAGAAACCGATCATTGATCTGACCCCATAACAAACATTCCAAAAACATTTTTTCCCCCAATAAAATCCTTCTGGTGTATGGCCAGCTTTGTCTTTTTTCATACTTCCTTGTAACAACTCAGCAGAATTTTCCTACCATACATACATCAGCAGAAAAGAATCATAAATGCTTATTGCAAGCTGAAGAAAGCTCAGAAAAAGAAAACGATAATCAGAAAATTTAAGGCCGCGCAGCTGCAGACACTGACAATGGAGCCCCGTGTTGCAGTGGATTCGCACATCAATGCTGCAATCATGGGCTGTTTCTTCCTTATGTGCTGGCTCCAATGAACAAAGATAACAAGCTCTGTTTTGTCCCAGCAACATGCTGCCTCAGCACCTCCATTCGCTGGGTAAAATGCTCTATTACGACTTAAACTCCACCAGCAAGCATTTAATAAGAAGCAAATCAGTCTCTAAATGGCTTTGATGCGCAGAGCGTACATTAATGCTTACTACAAGTCATTTTCGTGGTATACCAGGTCAGCCGCCCTGCAGATCCCATCCACCAATGTTATCTGAGGCATATGCGGCTGACAGTTTAAAAGCATTATATTACTTCTGCTGCCATTACTCTATCAAGTTCAGTCATAGAGAAGACCAGAGCAGAAATTCATTAAAGCCTGTGTGGTTACAAACTACTGGGAACGTGATACCAAAGTCAAGCCATGGAGCAATTCACAGACGTTGGTGGCAATTTGCTGAAAAGTAAATTTTTTCACTTAGCCAAGTGAACCCGTCTTCAGCTGAAGGACAAATTTGTCTGCAAAAGGAATCTTCAAAGTAGGAATTTATTTTGCCCATGACTGGAATGTTGAGGTCATTGTGGCTTTACTTGGCTCTAAGTAAAAAGTATTAAATTGCACCCATTGCCATAAAATTCAGTGTCAGGGTTATTCACAAAAGGGTGAAGAGTTTGGAGAAGGCAGGAGAAGTGAACAATCTAGGACAACATAGCTGATTTGGCATAATTCTCCAATTCAGTTCACTTTCCGGTTCAGCGATGTTGTCCTAGAGAGTGTTCTCTTTTCCTGCCTTCTCCAAACTCTTCACCCTTTTGTGAATAACCCTCATAGAAGCATGGAAACTCCACCGTTAAAATAAAAAAAATAAAAAGTAATAGACATGGTCTTAGACATTATAACATTACACGAGGACCTGGATAAAATAGGGGAGTGGGCATTAATGTGGCAGATGAGGTTTAATGTCGATAAATGCAAAGTAATGCACTTTGGAATTAAAAATAAACAAATGGGTTATACAATTATGGGTATGCCGCTGGGGAAGTCAGAAATGGAGAAGGATTTGGGGGTCATTGTAGACCACAAACTGAAAGGTAGTTTGCAGTGCCAGGCTGCTGTAAACAAAGCTAGCAGGGTCTTGTCTTGTATTAAAAAGGGGATGTATTGCAGGGACAAGTCTATAATTTTGCCACTTTATAGATCATTGGTTCGACCTCATCTGGAGTACGCGGTCCAGTTCTGGTCACCAGTACTAAGAAAAGATGTCCTTGAGTTGGAAAAAGTCCAGCGGAGGGCAACCAAACTAATTAGGGGTATGGAGGACCAGAGCTACGAGACAAGGCTACTAAATTTAAACATGTTCACATTGGAGGTGAGGAGATTAAGGGGGGATATGATCTCCATGTACAAAATGTTCAATGGTGGCAGCAACATTAGCGATAAACTGTTTAAAATTAACTCCATTACAAAAACTAGAGGCCACCACCTAAAATTGGTGGAAAAAAAATTCCAGCACAAGGGGCGAAGGGGGTTCTTCACAGTAAGATCAGTTAGGGTCTGGAACTCACTGCCACAGGCGGTGATTTCAGCAAATAATGTGGAATTGTTCAAGAAACTTTTGGACGATTTCTTAAGGGACCGTAATATACAGGGGTACAGGTACTCCTAGAATGAGATCCTAATAGGTTGGACTTGATGGACTAATGTCTTTATTCAACCTCAAATACTATGTAATAAATGCAGACTTCATAAAAGAAAAAATGTGCAATGTCCAGTAAGGGAATTTTTAATGGATAGAGTAGAGAAATTGGCAAGCAGTAGGGCTTAGCCATGATGCCACGGGAAGGTCAAGTCATAGTTTTAATCCTCCTTTACGGTTTGTTAAGAATATGTAAATATTTGAATGCCTATAGCTTAGCTATAGATTCACATTAAGGTGCACTCTGCCCCTGTGTACCAAATTAAATAGCATAGATCTGAACATGTACTATCTGTCTTAAATGGCACAGATTATGACTTGTGGTTTACACTTAATGTGCATGTACAGTAAATCACACGGCGGTGCTGTATGTCAGCGAGCCCTAAGAAATATGGAAGTAACTGATTTTGTTCACACCTGTCAACTTGAAACCTCACTTACACAATGACAGTATACAACTGACATACAGGCAACAAAATTGAAGATCTTTCCCTGCCTTGTGTCTTCATATTCTAAAGGTGCCCATACACTGTACGATTCTCGTACGAGAATCGCGGGAAACCCCGCGATCGTACGAGAATCGTACAGTGTATGGAAGGCGTGCGACCGTTTCTACTGTATGGTCGCACGTCTTCCATCGAACAAGCAGGCTGGAAAACCCGCCGGGAATCGTACGATTCTCGGCGAGTGAGTGGCCTGCTTGTACGACAACTGACAAACGGGCCGGTGTGCGCACGCGCACACTGCCCGTTTGCCGTCCTTGCAAGCCCGCCCCTCATAGCAGTCATCTGCTGCTCAACGGGGCGGGCTTGCAATGATCGCAAGTACGATCTGCCTGTCCAAGATGGGCAGATCGTACGTTTTTTTAAGTACTTTACAACCATCGCAAGACTAAGGTCTTGCGATGGTTGTAAAGTGTATGGCCACCTTTAAGGTGCCCATACACCTTACGATCATCGCAAGACTTTTGTCTTGCGATGGTCGTATGCTTCTTGAAAGCCCGTACGATCTGCCCACCTTGGACGGGCAGATCGTACTTGCGATCATCGAAAGCCCGCCCCGCTTCCGATGACGGCAATGCAGAACGGGCAGTGTGCGCGTGCGCACACCGGCCCGTTCCGCAGCTATCGGCGAGCAGGCTAGAAACCCGCCGAGAATCGTAAGATTTTCGGCGGGTTTTCGAACATGTTGGCTCGACAAAAGACGTGCGACCGTACAGTAGAAACGGTCGCACGTCTTAGTTCACACTGCTCGATTCTCGTACGATCGCGGGATTTCGCCCGATTCTCGTACGAGAATCGAACAGTGTATGGGCACCTTTAGAGTAACTACACTGACTGCCTTCACAATTCTATACACTGTGCAGGCAATATACATTATTCAAAAGCAATGTCACTCTGCATAAAATATCAACATTTTACATATAAAGAGAGGCATTGTGGATAATAGCACCACATCAATAACCAAGTTACATCTTCATATCGATTTAGCAAAGTGACAAAAGCATTTGATGACACTGATTGCACGCTTAGGGAAATTAAGGTAAAAAT